AATAGTCAACTGGCTGGAACCGAATGATCCGAGCCCTTGTCACTTCTACCAGAACTTGTGTCACTATATCATTCTGGCCGCCCCCGTTGCCGCTGAAAATCTATAGAAAAATTTTATTAGAAATTAACTGAAACTCAGTTTTCCTTCTCGAACTAGGATCAAAGATTCATGGACTTATATCAAAATTTAGCTCTCTTTCTCTCTCTCTCTCGTTCTCACTCTCTCCCATAACCTACTGCAAATCTGATTTGATTCTTGTTCGTTGGGAGTAAGACACTTTACAAATCCAATTGATCCAATTGAAAGTGAGCTGATGTCACCTTTGGGTCACTTGTAAAAACGGTTTTTCAAATAAAAAAATGTAACCGCATGCTAGTTGATAAATCGAAAGTAATAATTTTCGTTATTACCCCTCCACTGGGACACTTGAGGCTATCTTACTCAGGCAACTATATAATATTTCTATAACGAGTTTACTATTTTTCAAACCTTTTCCGAGTTGTTCTCTTTATAGGTGATCCAATTCCTTAGGAACAAATGCAGCTTATAACTTCTGGTCCACTGCCTTCGAAGTGGATGTCCTTGAGTAGCTACAGCGCAAATAAAGAACACATCTCCCAGCTCAACTTCCAGGTAATCGTTAGTATTGTTGTTACTGCTAGGTAACCAGGCTCCCAAGGTATTCCTGAGGCGTGCTTTATACGGTTCATTGTTCGCAAGAAACGATGAGGCTGTAAAACGTTTGTCCGAGTGTATGTTGGAGTTGGCCAAATTAACTGCCTGTGTCTGACATGCTTCAAAAGGAAAAGAAAACAGATAAGGGGAAAGATAATAAATTGTAATCCTTATCGACAGCCGTATCCCCACTAAGAACAGCCACCTTTCTTCTCTTATCTCGCTCCTGAATTTTGCTGTTGGCAAAAGGCTCCACTGTATAAAGAAGGGATAAGATAAGAGTCAGAAGGATGTTCTTTGCCTTGTTGTAAAATGCTTCGCTTCCCCAAAAAGAAAGTTGGAGTTAAATTTATACTAAACCCTTCCCTATTTCCTCGAACCAGCTTGAGACAGCTGAAATGAAGATCAATGCCTTGTGGGGGAATCAGAGTTTTGCTGTGTCTCAGGCTCGTGTCAAGTCGATTAACATCTTTCTCCATATAGAACGAAATAACTCTTATCAGTGAAAGTGAAAATTAGACAAGTAGTCACGACAGCTGCTTACCATTGCTGGTCCTTCTCTCGGAATAAACCTGCACCTCGCATAAGGACAGTGTTCTGTTAGCGCCTGAATCTTCAATAAAAACAAATTTTCCGACAAGTCTGGGTAGACAATATATGATAAGTCGTTGAGAAATGTTTAAAAATGTTTTGGAAAGGGGTTTTCCTCCACAAAGCAAGTTTGAACTTCTTCTTTTGTCACTGTCATAACCTGTTGGACATGAACACAGAACACGTTGTTATTTGAAAAGCAATCCACTTGGCATTGCCTTTTTTTCAAATTTTTCCTCCCCAAGTATTAAGTTTAAATTTATCGGGGATCAGGCATTTCTTTTATTTTTCACTTCTCCGCGAAAAAGACATACAGTAACCGTTAGCAAAACATACAT